CCCCACTTCAAGTTCCTGTTGCCCACCACTGCTCAGAGGATAAATTAAAAATTAAGATCATTTTTCTTTTAATTTTAACAACTCACCGGTGTCAGAAGCACATTGACGTCATTCCAAGGCACAGCCTGGAAGGGGCGGCAGTAGCTCGAGGAATCGCCAGAAACCATTGTGTTTCCAGCAATTCCTAGAGCTACCGACCATCCCTTCCGGGTTGTACCTGGAAGTGATGTCATTGAGCTCACGATCCCAACCCACCCTGTACCATGGCCTTCCCCCCACCCTCCAGGTGATTACCAGGCTTGGTCTAGCAACCCTGATTGAGAACGGTGGTCCAAGATTGAGACGACGTAAAGCCTAGTTCAGCCTTTAAGACACGATTATGTCCAGTCAATTGGATAATAAAATCCAGGGCAAATATATATTACAAACTTAAGTCGCTGAAATTAGAATTGCTTCACAAAGACAGCAAGAAAACCCAATTTAATTTATGCAGAGCAGCAAGGGTGGCCAACAGAACTCCCAAACCCTCCCTCCTTTCCACCTGCCAAAGAACACTGACGTGTAACAAAAGCAGTCAAAACAGCACACGCATTTGTACCATCTAGAAACGGCACCAGAAAATCATTCCAGATCGTCATATTTTTGTTTGGAAGACTTTTGCGTGTCAGCTAGCGGTATGCTTGACGCCTCTTTGGAATGGCAGAGCAAACATTAAACGTTACATTACCATATGTCAACCGAGACAAGCTGATAATGCAACTGCTCCTTGGACAACTCTAAGGCTTCCCCCCACAAACCTCTTGTCAGGCTGAATCTCTCTCTCTTGATCAATAACGGTGCGCGGCAAAGGGGACTATGTGTGGCATCTGAAAGGCCGGATTAGCCAAATACTGTAAATACAGATGGCAGGGACTAATTCCAGCTCTCAAGCAGTGATCATGCAAATCACTTCGGCATGCGGGGAGCTCCTTCGAGTTCAAAGGGATTACTCCCACAAGCAGAGTTACTCGCACATCCGCACATTAGCGGAAATCAGGACTTATTTTGTAAGAACGGGGGCAGCTTCAAAGATGCCCTTGGCACCACGCATACAGAAAAACCTGGTGTGCGGCTAGCATCAGGCGCTCTCAGTTCCCATGTTCGAACGTAACTCAAGTTCCTGCAAGACTGGGTGTGTGGGAAATGGCTGGGAATCCAGATGAGCCAACTGAATGTCGTGATTCCCTTGATCTGGGGTGATCCAGTCAGGTGCCAGTGCCACCAAGAGTGCAAAACAGATCTGGGGTGAAAAACAGCTGATATCGCAAGCTGGAAGCTGGTTGGGTGACCTTGGGCCAGTTTCACACACTTAGCCTAACCTACCTGTGTCACAGGAAGATTAAGAAGAGGAAGATGAAGGAGGAGGAGGAGGAGCTTGGATGTACACCCCGCCCTTCACTTGGAGTCTCAGAGCGGCTTACAGTCTCCTTCCCTTCCTCTCTCCACAACAGATACCCTGTGAGGTAGGTGCGGCTGAGAGAGCTCTGAGAGAACTGCTTTTGAGAGAACAGCTCTGAGAGAACTGTGACTGACCCAAGGTCATCCACCTGGCTTCATGTGGAGGAGTGGGGAATCAAACCCAGTTCTCCCCGATTAGAGTCTGTGCTCCTAACCACTACACCAAACTGGCTCTCAGGGTTGCTGTGTGCATAAAATGGAGACGTGAATGATGTAAGCCACTTTGGGTTCAACTCATTGACACATTTCCCATCTTTCTCCTGCTGCTTGTTTAATGTGCTGGGAGGTGTTTTGTTACCTTCTCCATGCCTGCATTCACCACTTGATTTCCCCTTCCCACCACAGACTTAGCAGGCAATACATCGAACTACTCCAACAGCATTTTGTGAGGCATTTGGGCCTGCCCCACTTCACTGACGAATTTCTCTTCTTTGGTTAAGGGTGGTGTAGTGGTGAAGAGCGGCGGGCTCTAATCTGGAGAACCAGGGTTGACTCCCCTCCCCACTCCTCCTCCACGTGAGGCCTACTGTATACAGGCACCTTGGGCCAGTTGCAGTTCTCTCAGAGCTCTCTCAGCCCCACCTACCTCACAAAGTGCCTGTTGTGGTGAGGGGAAGGGAAGGAGATTGTAAGCTGCTTCGAGACGCCTTATGGTTGAGAAAAGAGGAGTATAAAACCCTATTCGTCTTGTTCTTCTTCCTTATTTTATTCATTTAATTTTTGGGCTCTACTGGTAGCAGGAGCTCCTTTGCATATTAGGCCACACATCCCTAGTGTAGCCAATCCTCCAAGAGCTTACAATAGCCCCAGTAAGAAGAGCTCTGTAAGCTCTTGGAGGATTGGCTACACTAGGGGTGTGTGGCCTAATATGCAAAGGAGCTCCTGCTACCAGTAGAGACCCAAAGCAGCTTATATTGTCCTCCTCTCCTCCATTTTATCCTCACAACAAGCCTGTAGGGTAAGTCAGGCTGAGGCTGCGATCACATGTGCCTTTAGTTCCGACACAGGTGCGAATGCCTGATGGATCTAAAGGGCGCGATCAGACAACAACATCTGGGAAGAGTCCCGCAGTTGTTGGCAACCCGTGCTGCTCTGCCACAGAAGTGGAGTTAAAAGACACCGGGGAAAGTTCAGCTCCAATGGGTTCTGACAGGCCACAGACGGACTTTCCCCTGTCCGATCACGCTAGGGTTGCCAAATCCATCTTCCACCCCCAGCGGGGGACTTTGGGGTGTTCCTGGAGGGGGCGGGGCATCCCCGACGTGATGACGTCACGTTGGGGACGTCCGCCGCCCCCTCCACCCGCCCGTGCGCCGGATCTCCAGAAACGGCAATTCCCTGCACTTAAAGGAGCCGGCGTTTCCCCTTTAAGAGCAGCCGCATTTCCTTTTTAAGAGCATGAAGCTGGCATTTCCCTGCAAGCTTGTGGAGATCTGGCTTGGGAGGAAACACGGGTTCCACACACTTAAAGAGAGAGAGATGGGTGGCTGTGGGTGTTGGGGGTGGGGCTTCCCCCCCAAAATGGGGGACCCCTGGCAAACTGGGGGGTTTAGCAACCCTAGATCAGGCAAGCACGCTCTCATGCCGTTGGGATGGTCTGATCATGCCATCCCGGCTCAGTGCCGTCCCCCCCCCCTTTGCAATAGACACACAATCGCATACTCCGTAGGGGGCCCTCAGTGTGGAGGCACGATTCCTCATTTATGCACATGGGAAACAAATGGCCACAAAAAAGAAAGAGACTCACCCGCAGTTGGGTCTGATCACACAGTGACGGCCTGAGCCTGCAGCTACAGAGGGAGGCGTGATCTCGCAACTGCGTGTCAAATTCCTCCGGAGAGAACAGCCTCGCGTCCCCGCCGCTTCAACGGGCGCGTGTGACCGCAGCCTGAGAGTGTCTGACTGGCCCAGGGTCACCCGGTGCGCTTCCA